CTGCCATCACCTGGGGAGACTGGTGCTTCCCAGCTGCATCGGCTCCTCTGTGACATCATCAGGTGAAGAGACGGAGGCGGGAGCTGACCGAAGTCTGTCAGGTCGGTTCGTCGTGAAGCCTCTGCCTTCCTGATGATGCAACACACGTACAGGGAAATGTCCCCGGTCCTGATCTCGCTCGGCGAGCCTCTTGTCGATTTTGATGGCTAGAGCGATGAGTGAATCCTCTGGTAGATCCATGGCAATCATATGATCCTTGATTTTCCCTGACAGTCCCTGAAAAAATGCATCGGCTAGTGCAGTAACATTCCACTCGCTCTCTTCAGCTAGCGTGCGAAAGTCAATGGCATAGTCCAGGGGTGTCAAACTCTGGCCCGCGGGCCAAATTTGGCCCACTTTGTAATTATATTTGGCCTGCGAGACAATACCAAATGACTACTAGAGCTGCCCCCGGTATTATACTGTACAGCGCATTCACCGCTAACACTACAAATCCCATAATGCCCTGTTGTTGTTTTGGCACGTCAATCAGGACAGGACCCAGAAACTCCCTCTCCTCTGTGACAGTAGGCATAGCGACTTCACACTACAACTGTCACTGTGATACCCCTTTCCAAAAATGGCGAAAAGAAAGGCAGAAAACAGGAGCTTTCTGGACAGGTGGGAGGCAGACTATCTGTTTATATATGTAAAAGACAGACCTGTTTGTCTTGTTTGTGTAGTCAACATGGCTGTTGCAAAGGAGTACAACATTGGACGACACTATGAAACGAAACACCATGACAAATACCAGGACCTGAACATGACTCAAAGGTGCCAGAAAGTAGAGGAGATGAAAAGAATTTTGGTTTCACAACAGAATATGTTCAAAAAAGCCACATCACAAAGTGAGGCTGCTGTAAAGGGTAGTTATATTGTGGCAGGAGAGATGGCAAAATCAGTTCGGCCCTTTAATGAGGGAGAGTTTGTGAAGAAGTGCATGATGAAAGTTTGTGACCTTGTATGCCCAGAGAAAAAGCAAGCATTTTCCAACGTGAGCCTGAGCAGGAACACAATAGCTGATCGCACATGTGATCTTGCCACCAATCTGTATGACCAGCTGATGGAAAAGGGAAAAGATTTCGTTGCGTTCTCCCTCGCTGTTGATGAGAGCAGCGACACATCTGATACTGATCAACTGTCAGTCTTCATCCGTGGAGTGGACTCAAATCTGTGTGTTACGGAGGAGCTATTGGGATGGCACAACCACAGGAAAGGAAATCTTTGAGGAGGTTTCCAAATGTGTAAACTGAAATAAAGCTGCCGTGGGACAAACTCGTTGGATTAACGACAAATGGTGTGCCAGCATTGTGCGGTAAAAAGAGCGGACTGGTGGGCAGGGTTCGGGAGAAGGTGCGGGAAGAGAACTGTGCAGGTGAGCTCACTGTTTACCACTGCATTATACATCAGGAATCACTGTGTGCCAAAGCCCTAAAGATGGAACATGTTATGACCACAGTAACACAGGTAGTTAACTTTATAAGAGCCAAAGGTCTGAATCACCGCCAGTTTAAATCTTTTCTGGAGGAGTGTGGTTCGGAATACGCAGCAGAGGTGAGATGGCTAAGCAGAAGAAAAGTACTGAACACATATTTCGAGTTGCGTGAGGAAATATGTCAGTTCCTGGAAACCAAAAGGAAGGATACAGCAGAGCTCCGGGAGCAGAAGTTTCTGTGTGAGCTGGCCTTTCTCTGTGACATCTCGAGCCATCTTGATACGCTGAACCTGCAGCTTCAGGGTCGAGGGCGCATCATCACAGACATGTACGCTGCAGTGAGGGCCTTTAAAACAAAACTGTGCCTGTGGGAGAATCAGATGCTGCAAAGAAACCTTGGCCATTTTCCCTGCTGTCAAACTATAAACACACAGATCTCTACTGCCGTGTTCCCATGCGCACAGTTTGCTGAAAAACTCATCGTACTCAGCGCTGACTTTAGCCGGCGATTTGCCGACTTTGATGCCCAGAAATGGAGGTTTGAACTGCTTAGTAATCCCTTTGCAGTTGATGTGGAAAATGCACCAACCAACATCCAAATGGAGCTGATTGAACTCCAGTGCAACGACACGCTGAAGTCAAAGTATGATGCTGTAGGCGCCGCACAGTTTCCACAGTTCATACCTGACACAATGCCTCAGCTCCGCACCCAAGCTGCTCAGATGCTCTCCATGTTCGGCAGCACTTATCTATGTGAGCAACTTTTCTCCTTGATGAAGATGACCAAAACATCTCTCAGGAGACGTCTGACTGATGAACACCTTTGCTCGATACTGAGGATTTCTTCAGCTCAGAGCCTGAGCCCAGACATTGATCAACTAGCATCCAAGAAGAGATGCCAGGTATCTGGCTTGGGCACATCAGAGTAGATCAGTGTGTAGCAAACTGAGCAATAATTAACGTTTTCTTTATGCACTTTTTCTTGCTATTCCAAGGCATGAGCTTGAATGGTTGATTGATTTATTATTATTTTATTTTTTAAATTATTAGCCAGTGAAAACATTTTATTTTGATATTTAAATCAGAAGGCTGCGAATAGAAAAGAATTTTATTTTAATTTTATTTAATAAATGAATGCCATTGATGTGTTTTTTTAATTTATAATTTCATTTTGCATGTCTCCACTATTAAGTTATATATAATGTAAGGTAATAAGTGTTGCTTTTTCCATATTCAATGTTAAAGCAAAATTTGTTTGGTCCATATTAAAAGGTTAATTTGTTCAATGTTGGCCCGCAACTTTGTTCAGGTTTTAAATTTTGGCCCACTGTGTTTTTGAGATTGACACCCCTGCCTTAATGCATCGGCCATGCTGCCAATGGAGAAAAGGCTGCTCATAGAAAAGACCGCGTGTAGAGTACATGTTACACGGTTTAACCTCGGACAAATGTGACATGAGAAAGCCCTGGTTTATTATTTTTAAAGTCATTTTTGGTCACACACCTGTCAGAGCACACCACAGCCACCAAACAGCAGCTACGTAGCCTGTTATGTGGGGCGTTCAGGGAGCATCAGTGAATTGTTGCGTCTATTGATAAGAAAATGTTCAGAAAGTCATATGTTTTGCCTTTGACCAGGTGGGAGGTGCAACAAAATGAGAAAGTGGGTCGTACTATATATATTATATTATGATTAAAGCATCCCCCAAAGGTAGACAATTTGCATTCCTGTAAATAGTTGTGCCTGATGTGACTCATATTCTAATTTCTGATTTTAAATAAAACGTCATTTGCAGATTTTGCAATCTGAAAAAGTCCTGAGACAGATCAAAGAATTACTGGAAAAGCTGTGCTATACCTGGAGGATTGTGCGCACTGAACTGTCCAAGGTGCTATACTAGGAGCAAAGCAGCTATCTGTCTGTCACTGTCAGCAGGCTGTACTCAAACCCTCTGAAGTGGTTTCATTTAGGCAGCAAAGAAAAATGGACCAAAATTCCTCCTCAGTAATGATCGGCCGATCATGAGTTACTGAAAGCCTGTGATTACAGCTGTTGCTGCTGAAGGTGGAACGGTCATTACTCTTTACTTTTTCACACTGACAGTTTGGTATTGATTTATAGGTTTTATTTTGTATGAAATATTGCCAAAACAATAAAAAACAGGAGGGTTGATTACTTTATTACACAACTGGGAAATACAGCTGACCTTACCATAGTTAAAACCAGACTTTCATGTATGTTCTTGGACATATATGTATGTATGTATCAATCTTTTCATGTCAGCAAAGTAGCAATTAGGCATATTTTCCCAAAATGTTAAACAATTTCTTTGATGTAATAGTAATAATCAAAGTATATTGGGAGATTGAACAGAATAAGAATTTCATTGTGTAGTACAACTACCTGTTTTGCTGTGCATATGTCATGTCCTCCACCTCTGGCTCCCTCTAGTGGCAGGACCTCACCCTCCTCCTTTCTTCAGACTCTGTATTCATGCAGGTGGAGGGCAGGTGCAGCTCATCTGCAATCACTGATCAGTTCCAGCTGCGGCGGGAGTGGCCTCCTCATTTTGAAATCCTGCTCTTCATATAAAAGGCACCAGCAGACCACTACTCGACGCCAGTCCGTTAACTACCTCCAGTTAGTGAGCCCTGGCCAGGTTGTTGGTTCACTTCTCTGACCTCTGATTCTGTTTGATAACCCTGTCTCTCCTTGTGCATTAGTTCCGACCCTCTCCGCCGCCAGAAGATCCCACCAGCTGCTTTCCATCTGATCCTGTCTCTGCAATCATCTTGTTTGGTTTTCCCATCTTCATCTCCTGCCACCTAAACACTCACCTGGACTGACTTGCCTCTGGAACACGCCACGCCACCACATCACAGATCCCTGGAGCCCATTCTCTGATTCCCCTCATTTCTGTCAGTAAGCTTCGAATCTCTTGCTTAGCTCTAAATGAGCCCCTAGTTTGAGTTTATCCTGATTTGTAGCTTTGGTATAGTGTGATTAGTCCTGTTTATAGTTTTGCCTTTTGTTTGGTATAGGTTTTCCACCAGCCCATTAGAGAGCACTGGTTGTTTTTAGTTTTGAGTAAACGGTTCCTCGAACCCTAACACCCTTCTGTTTAATAAATCCTTTTCTTGTATGCACACCTGGCTGCCGAGTCTTTGTCCGCGTTTGAGTCTCTGAACCTGATCCGTGACAGCATATGACAAAACTCTTGAATCTTATTATTCATAATTATCTAGGACAGCAATGTATGCATCACAAGCTGAATTAATGACATGTACCTTGCAAATAATATTTTTACTTAAGTTGCATTTTGACATCTTTTGTGGTTTTTTGTTTATTTGTTTTTAAATTCCTTTTATTTTCACTTTAATGGGAATCATAACTAACTTCTTGATGTATTAATGATAATGTGTGCCTAATATGTTTGGTACCACTAAGTGCTTAATGCATTGCAGTTCAGGAAACTGTCACAGTACAGGAAGGAAACACACTCAAGATAACAAGCCAGAGTCAGAAGTAAGACATAACTGGTAACTTTACTTGGGCAGACAGTACTACATTCCATTCCAAAGTACAAAACCAGTAATCAGTCCAAACAGGCAGAGCTACAAAGCCATCAGGCAGAGATCCAGAGAAGCAGGCACAGGTCAAAATCCAGGACAGGCAATACATACAATCAGTATACAAAGCAGGCAAGAGGACAAACAACGATTTGGCAAAGAGCACAGTAAACGGACTGGTATATATGCAGAGTGTGGATGAGCAGATGAATTACAGGTCAGTGGGCAGGTAGGCAATTGATAGGCTGACAGTGGCAGCTGGTATAAGAATTTTTGGTGGGGGATCAGAAATTAGAGTATGAATAATATCAGGCACAACCTAATCATAATCTAATTTAGCACTGTTAAGATTAAACGGCACTGAATTTTAAAACCACTCATCAAACTTTTATCAACAGAATCTGTACAAATTCAAAACACACAACATAAATGATGGAAAAACACTCTTTGAACAACAATTAGCCTCTTCTCTCTTACTGCTCTGCAGACTTCTCTACTACTTTTTGGTTTTAGTCACTCAGCCTTTTCTCCAGTGACAGCATGGGCAATGCATTAAGCCATCACGACAGTAGCTGTTGTCTAGTAGAAGAGGAGGGGAAAAGCTGTGTTCCGCTGTCAGATATGTATTTAAAGCGCAGTCGTAAGAACGTCAAAGGACCGTTTTGATATCCAACCACAGAAGACAGACGCAAATCAAGACAAAAATCAATTGGCTTTCAGCAAAAGTGGGAGGATCTCACTGAGCTGCGCCCCGTGAGAAAATCTGCAACTGCCACTCTGAGCCCGAACCAAGGTCACATGATCATGAAAAGTTTGTCGAGCTACATACACACTCATTTGGTCGGCGCCCCGCGTCCAGGACTAAATTAGTCCAAGACTAATTTAAATCTGTTAATACAAGTATTGTTAGCATGGCAAAAGAATATGAACATTAATATTCATTTTATTGTTATTTTGTTGTAATTAATTCAAATTTAATATTGAGTTTGAGAACTACTTTTTATCTGGTAATTAGTAATGGAGCAGCACCCCTGCGTCCTGTACTGACCAGCCGCCAGGTGGTGCAGTGAGAGTGGAGACTGCACAGTGGGAACAGCTGGCAGTTGTTAACTGGAGGATGTCCAGAGGGGTGTGTGTGTGTGTGTGTGTGTGTGAAAAACAGCAGGGGAGTGGACTAAGCAGGAGCTGGAGGCTCCAGAGGAGTCCATAACAAAAGAAAACAACAAAATAAATAGGCAAAACACAAGTAAACTACCTTCACAACACATACAGCACTAAGAAAAATTCTGCAAAGTGAGAAAACAACCAAAAACAGAAGCATGCTGCAAATACATAATATATACAAATTTGCACAGTGAAGCTTAACATCCAAGAGAAGGAACAATGCCTAACTCACTGTTTTGAGCAGATGTGAACTTATAAAAATAATTTCAGATGCTGAACTTTTTCAGGTTAGCACTCAGTTGAAGCAGATTAGAGGCACTGATGATGTAAAGTCCTTTGTACAAAAGGTCACATTTCCTTGAATTCAGAAGACACTCAGGTAAATCTGATATTTTTTCGAAGGTTTAACTTTCCACTCTTATTAATAATAATAATAATAATAACAATAATAATAATATATAAGCTATTCTGCTGCACATGGAAATAGCATCAGTGTCACTGTATTCAGTATGTACATAGACTCACAATATACTTCAAGGGAGAGCTGGGACCTACCGACCTACCTACTTGCTAACCACATTATAGGTTCAGTATGTTTAAACAAATTAGTTTGTATGTAATATCTTCCAACATCTTCTAATGGCATTGTTGATAACGGTTTTAATAATAATTTTGAACAATCACTTCTCATTGTCTGTCCTGTTGTTTCCATGTGGCTCATGCAACAACCAAGACAGTTTCCCGTGAAGCATTCCTGGCTTGCACTCAGTTGTTATCACAGAAAGTAGTTGTGTGAGGGAGGAAAAAAGAAAGTCTGAGAAAGAGGCTACAACCACTAAATCACTTACAGAACCTTACAGTTTAGCTTCAAGACGTTTCTGTTGGGAAAAGCCCAACAGTAGGCTACAAGAATGCACACTTGTAATGGCACTTTAACTGTGTAATAATACTGTTTACAGTGTGGTCCATATTCTGTTATGTTATGACATACTGGATTTAATTTTTACCATATGAATAATTTACAATCTACGCCCTTTTTTCCAAGTGCTTAAGAACTATGTTGTGAAAATACTATACAAACAATGTTATTATCATCTCCTTCCAGTTAAAGTTGGTTATGCTGAATTAAGTACTTTTAGTTGTCCAAACTTAACCAAAGCTTGTTGTTGTTTGAAGGACACTGAGGAACTAAGCAGACATGCACAATATATTCAAATAAAGAGAAGCAAGTGTCTTCCTTATAAAGTAATGCCGTAAAGAGAAACTTGCCATCATGGTTAAAACAAATGGACATGCTCATTTATGCTTACACACAAGTTCCCTCTTCTGCATTTTCGTACAGTGCACAGCCAACCCAGCCACCCACTTGTGAATAGTTTTTGTGGTTTGCAGTTCCTCTCTGTTTACCAAGACTGCACTGCTGAACAAGGCACGTTTACATCAAACTGTCTCTCTATTGAATTTTCCATTTGTGTGTGATAAACCAGTCGTATCAGCAGTCCCAATCAAAACATATCATTGATCATTGGCCTGAAGTCATGAAGAGGTAAAATCTTAACTATTAACCCACCTCTCTAGGTCCTGGTAGACTTTATTGATTTGTAAACTGGGATACTTTACACAGATCTGACACAATCTTTCCCTCCAATCAGTGTAGATTTTGATTCTGTGAGTGTGGTGCCACTGGAAGTACACCTCATAGGTCTGCCTGTCTGCAGCTACATGTTTCAGATAGGCAGCTAGATCTGCTGTGTGTTTGAAATCAGAAACATGAATAAAGGAATGAGGGGGAGCAACAGCCTCATAGGTGGCCCTTCTTGGGCCAAGAACCACCGGTATGGCCCCTGCTTGGAAAGCGTTCCTCCAGAGCTTTTCTGTGATGTAGTCTTTTGCTTCAGAGTTTTCGAAAGACAGGTAAAACAGACAGTTTGCAATAGTTGGCAGCAGCTTGTTGTCAGGTAGAAGCTTCTTGTTCCATTTGCCATACACCTCTATGGGTATATACTTCTTTAGACTTTGGTAAACAACAGCCCGGGCCTGCTGAGGCCGATATTTGCTGACCACCCAGCTGACAAGGCAGGAGCGATTTGGCGCAGCCTGAAAGCCTATGTCCTCACGTTCCAGCATGGTTTTTCCATATGGGACGAATATATCTGCATCATGTCTGTAACTCATCGTCCAGTTGAAGAGGCCATTGAACTGTGTGAGGTTTGCATTGTTGACAGGAGGCTCCATGGAGAGCCACACCCAGTGCTGAGAAGCAGGGCGATCCAGGTGCAGGGGCAGAGATGACAGACCACTGCTCAGCTCCTGATGGTGGAACACAACAACATCAGCAGTGGAGAAGGTGGAGGTGTTATCAGTGAGGGAACAGTGGCTGATGTTGTACATTGTAAGGCATTTATTCCCATTGAGTCTATAGGAGCGGCCGAACGGCCAGTGCCACAGCAGGATGCTGATGTTTTTCTGAAAAACACGATGATACTGCTGCACATACAATTTATGGCCTAAAAAGCTGTAATAAAACAAGGGTGAGAGGGAGCTGAGGATTAGGAAAAGGATGAGGACCTGGGATCCAGATATTGTCATGGCTGCTGGATGTATTGATCACTGGTATGGAACACTAGAAAGGAACAGAAGGTAGATCAGAGATGTATAATTCTGCTCTCACATGCTCCCATCAGTGCAGGAATTGCAGACATGGTGTTACATTAAAAACGACTGCAGAGGAAATGTAGATCTGTTTTAACTTTCAACAACCCCCCCCCAGGTTAAATCAAGTGAGGTTTTATCAGAAAATAAACAGCAAACAGTAAAACAGAAACAAAACAGGGGTTCAGTAATCAATATGCTTTTGTTTGTTTGTTTGTTTTTTCAAATATGGTTATGGAAAATTCATTATACGTTGTCATTAGGTGGCATATGTCTCATTTATAAAGTAGTGAAACATTTACTGTCGTAGACTCTGCTGTCTTTGTCTTTTGAGTTCTGCTTCTGCTGTATAATTGTTCTTTTTAAGATTGCATCATCAGTGTTGCACACCCATATTGTAACTTCTCCATTTTAGACTTAAAGTTTCTAAAAAAAAAACAACAAAAAAAAAACAAATCTTTGCAAACCATCAAATAATTATAATGTGTCCGATCAAGGGAATTTCCTATGGTAAAGTGCTTTTGTGCTATTTTAACTTTTCGTGTGGATCGATGAAAAAGCATCTTGTGCAATAAAAGTGCCTCACTGAAGATTTGTAAAGATGACACACCCTGATAGCTGGTACAGCACTTCAGTTTAAGAACACAACATTTTTCAGATTAACAAAAAGAAATAAGATATTTAAAATGACAATTTTGAAAAAAAATACTAGACCTAATGTTTTACACAGATTATCAGCAAACCTAGCAAGTAAATGAAATGAAAATTAGGTTGACATAGATCTTGCCACTTACCCGAGTGATATGGCATCAGGCTGCTTGCTGTCAGAACAGCTTTGTCCTGCTCAAACCACAGAACACAAAGGAAATCCAGCCCACATCACACTTTTTGACTCATCTCTTGCCTGACATTTCATGCACATACATACACATGCAAGGCACAACCTCAGTCACTGGGCAGCAAAAACAGGCATCAGCAACATAAATTTCTTAGAGTAATTTTAAATGAACTCTTTCTTGAACTCTGTCTTTTCATACAAGCTGGAATGCAAACTAAAGTCAATATCCATCTCACACTCACATACAATGAGTGTGTTAGTGTTTACTCATATTTTTTTGGAAAAGAGTGAGAGGGAGTAACCGTTGCCTATCACCACTGACACCTGCCACCCAGTTGTACAGTCATCTAGTTTACAGTTATTCATGCACCCATCGTTTGCAGAATTACCACAGCTACCAGTGGCAGTCATGAACATTAACACTGCTGATTTTAGATTTGTAAACCACAAGCTGGTCTTCCTCTTCCTGTTTTTTCAGCTCTGCAGAGAAAAAGGGCACAGCTTACACAGCTGTTGTGGGCACCGACTGCATCATTACCATTTCAACAAGCTGTTGCATTCTCAGCTTAGCCATGTTCAAAGTTGGTTTTTCGTTGCAAAATCTATGCCTTCTGCATACTGCCCCATATTAGTTTTGTATTTTTCTTAACATATACACTTGTAAAAATCATATGTGACCCATCTGTACGAAATCAGTCACATTGCACCTTGGGCTATTATGCATAAACAAAAGCAGCATGTTGCTACCACATGACACAAATCACGGGACAGGATTGGCTGGCAATGACACATTGCTTGCGGTGCCTGCGCACAAGTGATTACGCTGACGGTATTTGACAGCGAAATGGATATTATATGTTGCCTACATGTAGAAAACAACTAAATGGACCATCCATCCATCCATTATCTATACACCGCTTAATCCTCATGAGGGTCACGGGGGGGGCTGGAGCCTATCCCAGCTGACTTAGGGTGAAGGCAGGGGACACCCTGGACAGGTCACCAGTCTATCACAGGTCTACACTTAGAGACAGACAACCAAGCACACTCACATTCACACCTACGGACAATTTAGAATCACCAATTAACCTCAGCATGTTTTTGGACTTTGTGGGAGGAAGCCGGAGAACTCGGAGAGAACCGACTCTGCACGGGGAGAACATGCAAACTCCACGCAGAAAGATTCCGGTGCCCCCACCGGGACGCGAACCGGCAACCTTCTTGCTGCGAGGCAACAGTGCTACCAACTGCGCCACCCTGCAGCCTAAATGGACCAATCTAAGTAATAAACCCAAAATCAATATTTTATCATGTGTTAAACATAATTCGGGCTGTATCTCAGATATAGCCCGAGGTGCAATGCAACTGATTTCGTGCAGATAGGCCTCATATGTATCCTGGCAGTCTTGAGTTTCCAATGACCTATTACTCTAAATTTTCTATGATGGAATCATTGAAAGCCATGCATCTGTGTCACAAAAAAAACATCATTCATTTTGGTTCTCTAATATATTTATTATAGGTCTTCTGGAAAAATGATGGGGCTGTATTGTGGCTTGTTTGTTAGCCCCGTCACCTCACAGCTACAAGATCCCTGGTTCGTGTCCCTGTTAAGATGTCTGGGATGTTTCTGTGCTCCCTGTGCAGCATGGGGTCTCACTAGGTACTCTGACCTCCTCCCACAGTCCAAAAGCATGCTGAGGTTAATTGGTGATTCTAAATTGTCCGTGGGTGTAAACGTGAGTGTACTTGTTTATCTCTACAGTCATGAAAAAAATTACTACACCATCCTTGTTTTCTTTCATTTCTTGTTCATTTTATTGCCTGGTGCAACTAAAGGTACATTAGTCTGGACAAATATAATGATGACAACAAAAATAGCTCATAAGAGTTTAATTTTAGAGCTGATGTCTTGCCATTTTCTATGGTTTTCTCGATAATAACCAAAATCACTTAATTTCTTACATCAATAACTATCAATCAATCAATCAATCAATCAAATTTTATTTGTATAGTGCTTTTCATGTGCAACAACAACAACGCAAAGTGCTTTACAACATTTAAAAACAACAAAGCAGTTAAAAACAACAAAGCATTTAAAAACTATTACAACATTTAAAAACATTACAACATTTAAAAACATTACAACATTTAAAAAAATAAAGTAAACCCGTCCCTCCCACCCTCCATGCATACACATACACATACAACAAATGCAGTCGCGCACACACAGACAGAAAAGTTTCTCTCTCTGGCCGTCAGGACCTACAACTAAAACTTCAGTTTTGTCCTGGTTGAGCTGTAGGAAATTCGCTGCCATCCATGACTTGATGTCTAAAATGCATTTAAAAAGGGTATCAATTGGCCCTGTGTCATCAGGAGACACAGCAACATACAGCTGTGTGTCATCAGCATAACTATGGAAACTGATGCCGTGTCTCCTGATGACGTCCCCAAGAGGAAGCATGTAAAGATTAAAAAGAATGGGACCTAAAATTGAACCTTGGGGAACCCCACACCTAATTTTATGAGTCCCTGAGGAACACGTATCCATACTTACATAAAAGCATCGGTCTGTGGGCCCCCCTATAGCTCACCTGGTAGAGCGGGCGGCCCATGAACAGGGGCTGTAGTTGCCCGATGCAGCGGTCGTGAGTTCGAATCCCGCTCACGACCCTTTGCTGCA